TGTTGTCTATAACACATGTGAAAATATAACACATATAAATGAAATTCAGCAAGGAACATACTTTACAATGTTCCAATCAATCAAACAATCACTCAATCAATCAATCAATCTATCTATAAATAAAATACAAATTTATATATATGTGTGTGTGTGTGTGTGTGTGTGTGTGTGTGAATTTGTGAATTAATATTCAGTTTACTGTATGACAACTACTGACAACTACATTTGAGCGTTTTTATTTCTCCTGAGGATTCTAAAGAGAAATACAATTTCTAACTGAATGAAACATAAGCGAGAAGTCTTATGGTTTATGAAAGAGCAACAAAACTTTACAGTTTCTGTTCACCCCACTTTCTAACACTCTGCCTGTGTTTTAGCATGCCCAGATCTATGATCATTAGACTACCGCACCCTAGCATTTTGATTGAATCTAATAACAAAATCCTGGATCTGTCAGATATTGACAACAGTGAAAGTATTTCTTTAAAGCTGCATTGTGCAATTTCTTTGGCACTAGCAGCACCAAATGTAATTGCACAAATAATGACTGTTTTCAAACAGGTTTCCCCAAACACTGTTCTCATCTGTCAGGGTCTGAAGGGTAATAAACATAGGAAGGTCATTTTCTGCATTCTATTGCTAGTTGAAGACGAGATGTAGAAACAGGGAGAAACTTAATGAGAATATGAGAAACAGCTGTGAGCGCGTGCACGGCCGCACATCGAAATGAAAAACAAAAACACGTGCAGTGTCAAACCTGACAGATCAAACCTGCGACCTGACAGATTTAAAGTCAAATTTCTGCGTTCATTGAATTTAAGCTCTATTAACTTGATCAATTCTCAAGAAATTGTCTTGAGAACTTTGAAAATTGGCCAGTGGATTTCTAGTTTTCAGCATGCTTTGCATAGGACTGAATAAGGAGATAAAAAGTTAAAATTATATATATATATATATATGCATAAGGTTAGATTAATTAGACCTACGATCAATGAGTTCCAGAAAGAAATAAAAGATAACATAATCAGTGATTTAAAATTTTAAATAAATTTTTTTAAAGACCGGTCATTTTTGACCAGGAACACCAAATTAAGTGAAGGATAATTCAGCACAATGGTTAAAGGTACTAGTATGTACTATTCAGGGGTAAATAAGGCACAAAGATATACCTTTAGCTTTTGTACCTTGTGGTACTGGCCCAGTGACAGTTTTGTACCTAGTTAGAACAACTTAATTGTTTTGAGTAATCAACTTTTAAAAAATGGTGTTTATTCTACAAAATACTGTATTATAAGTTCCTCCAACTCACTGCAGTTTGTTGGTTGGACATTATTTCATTAGAAGTTGTCATAACTCAAAATGATTGATACACACTGTTGCATTAATTAAAATATATATATATTTGAGGCAAAACATTTTGTTCACTTCAATGGAAGTGAAATCTGGAGTACATGACAAGAGAGACAGACAAAATGGTGACTGTAAGTTGCTTTGGATAAAAGCATCTGCTAAATGAATAAATGTAAATGTGTGAAAATATCAAGACAGACACTGAGCGTGTAGACAAACAAAACCTGGCCATAGAGATGAGCTGAAATTTAAAGAGTTAAAATCTTGCAATGCAATGCAATGCAATGCAAAAAAAACAGGCACTATAATCATCACAATATATCATCACAATAATTATCAATGTGTTTTCTGATTTCACCAAATGAGAGAAAATGAGCAGAATGTGGGCAGATGGCTGCAAGATTTAGCATCATGTCATTTCATATATTCAGCTTCAGGAAAACAAAACATTTTGCCGTTTAAATTGATCTGAAATAAGAGCTTAGGGTCAAATGAGATCTTTCACCCACTCTGCTTGTTTTCTGTGTATTGTTAGTTTTATAGCAGTGTTGACCAGTCTGCTAGATTTATGAGTGAACAGTAAACACGCAGCAGACATGTACAGTATTGCATGCGGTCCATTATTCACGTTTCAGCCGTTTAATCCTGCAGAGATGGATAGATTCATGACCTTCATGAAAACACTCCCATAACTGCACAGCAGAAGTACATGACAAATCTCCACTGACAATACAGCATGCCAGTGGTCTTAGTGTTAAGAGCGCCAGACCTCCTGTGAGGGATAAATGCGGATCACTAAGTGTGTGTGTGTGTTTGCGATTTATCGCCCGACACACACCATCCATCAAAATCAGCTGTGAACTATTTAACCTCGGTGACTTTAGGAGTGCCGTTCATAACCCTGCGCCATTAAACACAAACACACAGCAGAAATAAACCCAGTCCTGTCTGTCTGTCAGCGCCGGACACTCAGAGATGCTGGTAACATATATTCCTCCCAGAAATATCTCCCGTCAGGGCCAAAGGCTTCTGGCACCTGGTTTTATTACAACAACTAAAGAAAACAGACAAACATCCACATAAAACAGTTTAGTAAAAAAATAAGTACCTAATCTTATGTTTTGATTGTTGTACATAGTATTAAAGGAGCTGCTTTTCCTATTTAAAATAAAAATGTTATTTGTATATTATTATTTATTTATTGATATTAACTTTTTGAAAAGTGTTTCATGCGATTTGTATTCAACATTCTATTTTTGAAGCATTTAAGCAGATGTCTTACATCAAAAAGTTTTTAAGATCATAAAAAACATAAATTCAGTCAGGTGTGTCTAAATGTTTGCAGTAGTGTATTTATACCATATATTTCTGTGTGCCCTTAATAACTCAGGCTTTCACCAATAATAGACTAACTTCAAATGTGCTTGTTTCATATCCATATATCTGCCTAAAATACACTTTAAACGAGTGTAGACCGTTCATTTGAGTTTGTTTATTGAAGGTGTAGCTGTAACCCACCTAATCTTCATCGTTAAAGGATTACCAAAAATGATCATGTCTACCACATGTCTAAACCTGTATGATTTTCTTTCTTATGTGCAACGTATAGGGGAGACTGGGTATGGTTGTAACATGGGGAGAGTTGTAACAACACCAATAAGGGATAAGCTATGATGATTTCATTATTTACCCACTTCCTCCCAGATCTTATATGAATGGTTGCCAAGGCTGTCAATATAGGTACAAGCAGATTTTATAAAGAAAAAAAAATGATTTTGAGGTAAGAATGTAATTTTTTTTTACCAAAACTATTGTTTACTTAAACTGTTGCAGACAAAATCATATTAAACTTACATTAGAATAAGCTGTAGATTCTCAGACAAAATGTGATGCATTTTTAACCTGCCAATTTCAAACCATTGTGACTCTGATTGAGAAAATTCATACACAGACACAATCTCACACACAAATTTACACAGTTGTTTTTTAAGCATAAACACCTTTTAGAAAGTTTGTTCTAGTCACACACATACACATACACACACACACACACACACACACACACACATACACACACACACACACACAGACACACTCCTGCATCAAACAAAGTGGATTTGAGCTGTGGTCAGCCACAGAAAGTGAGACATTGTTTTGTTTTGCTCTTTTAGATTGTTTCAATAAACCTTTTTTTGAAGCATACTTCATGGCTGCTGTTTTTGTTTCTTTTGTCTAATTGTTACAACATACACCGGCAGTGGCGTAGATGGTAACAAAGGCACTCCATGTATTTGACATCAACTTATAAGTGCTGTGATATTCTTACAGAGGTTTGAATTGGTGCCATTTGTAGTAGACAAATGTGGGTACTTTGTAGAAAGGTTTGAGCACCCTAGCTCAAAAATTTAGTGAGTTACAGATATTAAACAAAATGTGTTACAACTATACTCGGTCTCCCCTACATTGTATGTTTTTGATCTGCTCTTTTACATGCAATAAAATGGACTATATTCCAAGCCGCATGATGCTTTCTGTGAAAGAGACTCAAATGCAAGTTGTTATTAGCTGAAAATGTTGTAATGCATGAGTTACAAGGACTACATTCATACTTTGTTTTTTTGTTTGTTTTTTTTGTTTTAAGCTTGACACACTTATTCCTCATTAACTTCCCTTATGTTTCTGTGAACTGAATGATACCAGAATTATTATTCGGAGTGAACCTTTAAAGACATTTGCTCTTTCTCAATTTTTCTCAGAACTGAAGAAATATCTGTTGCTGATCATCACTTGTAATACTCAGCAAAAACACATTTTGCAAGTGTTGCAAAAGCAGCTTTTGTCAGCATTACCCTAAAATCCGTATAGCCTAATAATAACGATTGAAAAATTATTAATAAAAATCGTACTTTTGAGCCTTGAAACCATTACTGGAACCAAATTATTTATTGATTAATTCGTTTTTTAAATTAATTATTAAATAAACATGAATTATGATTCATTTTGAATGATAATGGGTTTATAAATCAAATAAAATCAGCGCTATAATAGGCACGATGTGCTCCACGTGTCCCGTTTGATGCTTATTCAGAACTATTAACAAGATTATAAAGAAATTGATTTGTGAAATAAACACCATTAGCAGCATAATGTATGAGAAACTCCATTATAATTATATTACATTTGTTGTGTAAAAATGCTCTATACTGGTTTCGCAATGGTGTACTAGCTACTGCCAAAAAAGCTAAACTGGAAAGAACTGAAGAAATCACTCTTTGCTCTGATTGGTTTGAGCCATTTACAAGCGCTGTCACACGACAGCTGTTACTTTTCTCATCGCGGTTACGGTTGGACCAATCAGAGTCGTTTGTGATTACTAGGTAGTTATTTAAAATATAATTTTACAGTTATGGCGGGGTTTAAATTTGAATGTGCATGCCACCAAACTAATCCATGCGAATAACTTATATAATAGATTACACTTTTTAGTTTCACAGTTTTGTATTAAATCAAAAACCTTCACAAGGTTTGAATGTCGTGCAAAGGCAATGGCTTTTAACGGGCCACCAAGCGGCCCCTACAGGAATAAAGATCCTGAACACTCTCCAGCTGGAAGTGTTTACTGTAGTCTGGAAAAGAGAAGGAGGAGTGGATGAAAGGAGGAGGAGTGGAGGAGAGGAAAAAGCAAAACACTCAGTGCTGTTCGCCATGTTGTGTTCAGCACACATGAGAGAATATAAGGACGCTTCTGAGGGTTTGCACACAACGTTTAAACACAGAAATGGAGCTGAAGTCATCTGAACCCCCGCGGCGTCTGTGACTGATCCGGAATCATTCGCGATTCAGAGGCGCATTAGGATTTTACGGAGGAACATACAGTTTATGTGACACTCTGTGCATTTGATTTATTCTAGATGTTGCTGTTTTCGGATCTCAGTAGGCTATATTTAAACCTTGAGCTGGATTTATATTTCTGTGTTCTGGAATGAAGATGACTGTGATGATACAAATCTTTAAAAAATATATTTTTTAAAACATCCAGAAGATCATATCGGGATGCTTTTGAACTTGACTGATCCATGAATAGTAATTTTCACCATGCATATGGCGATGAACTCAAATTGCTCGCTGTTTCTGTGTGTGATCGATACTGATCGATATTAGCGCATGGGTTTCAGGGCACGCTGCTGTCACTTTCTAATACAGTATGATTGTTTGATATTTCATCTATGCAAACAGAAACGCACGCACTGACCTCCACACTGAGGATTTGTCAAATCTCTCAAACACTAATCCTCTCTCACAGACTTGCACATTGATCCGAACCTGTTTGCTCACAAATAAATGCTTTTGGCAATATTAAAACATTAATTTTAGAGGGAGCGGATTATCAGCTTGGGTGTTGCTGGGAT